CAGCAATTCAGAAGCCATGCTGCCCTTGAAGAGGACCCATGTTTAATTCTCAGCAGCCCACAACTGCCTGGAACTCCAGCTCCAGGGACCTCTAACATCTGGCCTACACTGGCATTTGAACTCCCTTGCGCGCGCGCACACACACACACACACACACACACACACACACACACACACACACACACACACAATTTTAAAAAAATACTGTTAGAATATCTTGAAGATTAAAAGTGATGAAAGTAGCTCAAAATGGCCAATAGGTTTAGAATGAGATTTGCTAAAATTTACATAATGCTTACTACCGGCAAACCAAGGCATGATTTATATGTGTAACTTAGCTAATGATTATTGGCAATGCTGGGGCTAGAATCCAAGATCTTACACACGACAGGGAGTAATTCTAGTAACTTACACTCCCAGCACTCATTTCATATCCTTAAGAAACTGCTACTTATCCATTTAGGAAACTTGTTCATATAACTGTCATGAAAAGCATTCTCAGGATTCAAAGCCAGATAATCTACAAGGAAGATCGAACAGTTTACCACTACTGTCTCCCACTTCCTAGGGGAAATGATGCCACCAGGGTCCACTATGCATCTGAAAGTCATTGTTTAAACTGCAAGCAATAAGAGATGTCATTTGTGCAAACTTTTTTTCTCATTATGAAAGTGAATGTGTTGAGTTTCCAGCAACTAAAAAGGAAACTGAGCATAATGAATGTGCCAAAAAAATTACACAGTGTAAATGTTAAGAGCAGAAACCCTGGCACTTAGATTCTTCAGCTGGCATTTCACCCCAAGACTATTCTCATTCAAAGCAAACACGTGAGAAAAGTGAATGCTCATGTTTAACATTCAAGGTCATGCCATTTAAATAGTAAAAAACTGTTTACAGACAGTCAAAAACCACAGTGGCATCTTTCATAACTCTGCTTAAGCAGAATTCCTTATTAACCAATGTTCTTCTAAAATAGTTACGATAAAGACAGTTCAATAACAGGCCATTCATTAAGCATGTAGAAGGCCCAGGGTTTGAACCCCACCACTAGATAAACATTAAACGGGTCAGTATATTAAAGCAATTTTATTATTTTTGAATAAAAAAATCCATATAACTCACATTCTACAGAATCAAATCAATTTTTACAGGCAAAAAATATGACATACTTTGTATTTCACTTTCTAAAATTAAAGGCAGCATGGAAGTTTAACACGTGATATTAGCCTGAAGTTAGGGAAGAAGAAGGTGTGATTCTTAATAAATGTGAATCTATGTCTCTTTGAAGGTGTCTTTGAAAGAAGCAAAAGGAGAGAGAGTGATGTAGATCTTGTCTAAAAATGAAGTTCAAAGGCTCTTAATAGTCTACCTTCCACGTGGAAAGAATTACAAAATTTTTTTTCCTTTTATTTTCCATTGTGAGATATTAAATGGAAAAATGTATCCAGGCTGTGCACGTCCCTGTGTGGTCTGAGAGGCATCAGGAAGCATAGCCCGAGGAATGTAGGACATGAGCATGACAGTCTGTGTAACTGGCTGCTGTGAACTTTAGCAGCAAAGTTAAAAGAAAGAGACAAAGAAAAGAACATTCACCACTTCAGTTTGTATCTCAGAATCACCCAAGAAGCTCTCCTCACAGGTCCTATGAAACAATGAGAACATAGGCAGCATGGCTCACTTGTAATTACGTCTCTTGGTAAGGAACATTTATTATAAACAAAAAGAATAGTTTACAAAATCAACAGAATGTCACCAATAAATACAAATGGTATTTTTTCTATAAAGTTTATTCTGTAGGTTAATAGATGAAATAAAAAAGAGAAATCTGCTGAATTTTGTTGAAAGGTTTTTTTTAATGGGTTTGAAGTCATTTAAGCAGTTCAGAAAAACAAACACCTGTCTTCTTTAGTATGCCTCAAAATATTAATTTCTCACTGTCCTTAAAAATTAGAATAATTAAAAACTAGGATGACTATAATGCAAAATTAGCAAAAGTCAGTACACTCCAGACAACATTTTACTAGTGCTTTTATTATATTTATCTTCATTTCTAACAAAATCTTCCTTAGTTTTGCTATAATCATACATGCAGTTTCTGTATAATGTCCCATATTTGACTAAGTATTTTAAAATCAATCTCATTAATATTAAAAAAAAAACCATCTCCAAACAAGTCATGTTTAAGTTCTCTGGCTATGCTATATTTTTTTCTTTTCCTTGTTTCTTTCCAGAAATATAACTGCTGAGCCAAGAGCCTCTACCCAATTTTCAAACAAGCACAAACCCTACAAACCCCAAGAAACATAGGCTCTATATTTAATGTTCTGAAATTTTCATTTAATCATAATTTCAATTAAGTAAATTTAACCACCATTGATAAAAGAACAGTTTCATAAGAGAATATATGTGAATCACTACACTTAAAGAAATATACAAGAAGATTATAGATTTTCCCAGTTATTAATTAATTAAGTAATTTATTTATTTCTGTCCATTGTAATTCAGTAGATGAAACATTACAAATGTCTATCACTAGATACCCAGAGGCTGACAGACCAAAAGTTAATATATACTTTTCACTTAAGTATCTCACTTCATAAAAATACATTCCCTGGATCTGAAAATCTATACTCTTCCTAACAAAACACAATGCAAAACTGAATGATCAGGATCGACGGTAACTAAGATCATGGCCAGGCAGGAGTCTGCTCCCACAGGTCCTTCTACTAAGGGAAACCTCAGTTTACAACATCATTCATAGCTTTGCTCTGTGAGAGATCGTGATTCCCCAAGGTGAAGACTTTTCAAATTCACTGTAGCATCATCACGTGCATTAACACAGAATAATCGGAATTTCCTTTCTTATCTCAGATTCTCAATTTGCACAACTTTTATGCCCTCACTTTTCCAATGACTCTCTGGATTTCAATTACTAAATTTCTAATACTGGACCTTTTCTTTGTGGGGAGGGGACACACATTGTTTAGTAGAATTAAAGTTGGTCAAATTCTACCTCAAGATACAGGCATCTGAATAAAATGTATCATTTAAGAAGAGATGATCAATGGGAACTACTACAGAACAATCACTCTTGAGTAGACTTAGGCTGGTGAGACTACTCACCACTAAGGCTTATTTCCATCCCTGTGACCCACAGAGAAGTAGGGAAGAACTGAATCCCAAGTGTTTTCTCTTGACTTCTGTATGCACACAGTTAGCATATCCATACTTATATACATAAACCATACATACGTAAACAAAAAATAAATGTTTCAAAAGCATTAACTTTTGCAGTTACTTTCCATTACAAACACCAATACTGTTACCAGAAAACCATAGTTGGTTAATTATAGTAGATTTCTTGGACCCTAAACTTGAACTTCTCACTTGTATCTATTGCTATTATGCACTATCCTGACATAAAATATGTTAGCATAACTCAACGAATTTGAGTTCAAATGACATCATACTGGAAAACTCCAGGATCCTCTACTATCTACTGCATTTTCTTCCATGCCACACAATACTGCATATTTACATTAGACCTCCTAAAATGATACATGATGAATACTGGGGAATCCGAGGGAAGATGTTTTCTTCTGTGACAACTTAGCTTTAGAAAAGTTTATGAACCTTTTTCTTTCTCGTTTGCTTTGAGACAAGCTTTGCCGGTGAAATTTATGCTGAAAAACAACTGCTTAAATGGTGTTTCTTCATAACTGGACCACAGCATTTAGTGGCAATTCAGAATACAGTGATACTCGGAATTTCAACGCTGGGGCAGGACAAAGTAACAACAGACAATAATCATTATACCAATAATGCTGATAAGTGTGAGACACATTTGTAGACCGTGCCACTCAGGAAACTGCATCACCACGTGTGGGAAACAAAGGCACACTACATTTTGTTGAAGGTGTCATCAAATAAAACTTTTATCTCCATCTTTCCTCCCTCAGGACCACAATTTTCTTTCAAGCAAAGACAGTGGACAATTCAGCAAGATTCCAGTCTCTTTAAATCCACATCACAGCCCCGGAAGAAACTCATTAAAGCCAAGCTAGAAAACAGGGAGTCTGAGCTGTAACCAGCTTGCATCCCCATCCACCTCCATGCCACAAACACGCCCCCAGATCTGGAGCTAGAAGAGAGCCCAGCCACAAAGGAATTCCACTCAATGAGGAAATCCCAGTCAATGAAGAATCCTTTGGGGAACCCTTCTAAAACTGCAGTCTGCCTCCCCTCCAACACGAGCGAGCTCTGGAGCTCGAGCTCTCTCGAGAGCTCCCAGCTTCTTAGGCTCTGCTCCTCCTCCCGCCTGCTGGCTAGGGGCGATCTCTAGGGTTAGTCAGTCCGCACGTGACTCTCAGTGCCCACATGACATGACCATGGGCGGGGGAGAAGGACTGGGGAGTGAACCAGGGAAAAAGTTACCGAACACTGGTCAAAGCATCCAAAGCAATATGCCCCTTTCCTTCCTGGCCCACCAGTGCTCAGAGATCCCTAGGGAACTGCTGGGGACCAAGAAGTCTCCAGACTAGCTTTGGATATACTCCAAGCGTTCTCCACTTGCCCTAGGGCTCAGAGCTTCTCCCAACCCCTGTAATGACCCCTCTGCACCTCAAGCTGCTCCATCCTCCTTTCTCCTTCCCCTCTTGACTCCTTCCTTCCCCGAAAGCTCTATATCCACTGTGGGCGATGCCACTGACGCACATTCTATTTGGCCCAGGAGCTCTGAGGAGGTCAGACAAGGCCAAGCACCTTCTAAAGGCGAGGATCCAACTACACAAACTAAGTTGCTTGCCACGCTGCCATCTGGCTTAGCGCGCCGACCAGCCCCCTGCCCCGGTCCCACTAATGCTCCCTTCACAGTTACAGTGCTCTCTGGACCCCACCCCGCGGTGGCGCAACATACACCCAACACGCGCGCCCACCCTCTCCTTGCCCTCCCCACGCAGGGGTCCCACCGCCGGGCAAAGCACCGAGCAAGCTGCGCTCACCTTGCTTGACACACTTGAGCCGGAGGGGGTCCTTGCAGTGTTTGATCACGGCTAGAACGTCCCTGATGGTGAGCCCCGCCACGGGGGTCTCGTTCACCTCCAGCAGCAGCTCCTCGGATACCAACTTGCTGCCGCTTTCATAGGCCACCTTGCCCGGCTTCACCTCCCCCAGGTAGGGGAACTGTCCGTTTTCGGCGCCCCCCTTCAGTTCAAAGCCCAGCTGGCCCTCCGGGTTCCTGCCAATGACACTCTCGTGGACTTTGCTAGTCCAGTGGCTTTTCTTTTTCAAGCTTTTGGACATGGCAGTAGGGTGAGTCGCCTCAGTTCCTGAGGGTCCTTTGGAGAAGAGGGGTTGGGAGTCAAAATCGGGATGGAGGAGCCAGGGGGCCAAGGGACGAGGGTGGCAGACTTTGCCTGTCTCCCCTCTGCTCCGCGCTTTCCCTCTTCTTTGGATGGAGTGTGGCGGAGGAAGGGGGAGGATGCGAGGGACGGCTGGGCAGAGGTAGGAGAGCTTGGGTGAGGTTGTGCTGTCCCTTGAATGACACTCAAGGCTGTGGCCCCGCAGCGGAGGAAGCTGTGGTGGCGTTGGCGGCGTTAGTGGCGGTGGCGGAGGCTGAGCCAGCGCGAGCAGTGGCCGAGCTGGTGAGCGGGTGGCGTGGGGGTGGGGAGAGGGTAAGGATGCCGGGGGCCACTCCTGCGTGCTGCGAGTGGGAGCGCGCGCGCGCTCGCCGGCCTCTGTGTTGTTAGCCGATATCCATGGCAGCTGCAGTGGCGGCGGTGGGGAGCGCGTGTGTGTGCGCGTGTACTAGTTGTACTGTACTGGCAGGATGCGAGCGGGCGGGGAGGGGGATGCGAGCCCGGGGAGGAGGCGCGCGCACCGGGTGGAGCGCCAGGGAGGGCTTCGCCGCCGTCTCCCTCCCTCCGCGGCTTGACCCGGTAGTGAAGGCGGAGAGAGAGAGAGAGGCAGGCCCGGGCCGCCCCGCAGCCTGCGGGAGGAGGCGGGAGCCGGGAAGGAGGGGAGCCGAGGCCCGGCGTGGGGAGGCCGGCGAGAAGGGCCCGGAGCCCAGGCTGGACCTGCCTTCAGCTTCCCTGTGAGCCCGGCTGCTCGCCCTCAGGACACCTCGACTTGTTCACACTCCAGAAAGGATGAAGCAGAAATCCAGGGACCCGATGGCAAGCCCGGTGCCTGGTGGCCCATCTGCGGCGGCGCCTGCCTGCCGGGGCTCCATCCCGCCACCGGAAAGCTGGAGTTCCAGGTTCTAGCACGGGACTGCAGAGGGCCTGGCAGCCAGAGCTAGACTTCCCTGTTGTCTCGCTTCACTTTTACAGTCTTACATTCCTAGCAAAGTTCTCAGAAGTCCCCCTCCGAGGAGGGAAAGTTAGAGGAAGGAATCTGGTTGTCCTGGCAGCAGGAAGAAGGTGAAGCAGCAGCTGCAGACCAAGGCCACGAGTCCCCTGGGAAAGAAACTGAAGAGGGTGGAGTGGGGCAGGATAAACAGCAACTGCCCTAGTTGAAAAGTGGTGAGGGTCGATGAGGGGAGGAGTTGAAAAGATGATTGGAGTGAGAGCCGAGGTGTAGAAATGGAAGGTTTAACCTGGACAGGAGTCAAGCTTGTACCTGGGGACTAAGCCTTAATGTAATCATCGGACAAGCACCCCCCACTACAGAAAAGGCAAGAGAGCTCTTGGTGGGGCATGAACTCAGCTCACTGTACCCACCTATATCTCCTTTCCTTTCCTGTCTCCAAATTTACAGCCAGGAAGAAAGCTAAACAGGGCGCAGAGCACAAGAGCTGCTGACTTCCCCTGTGAAACCTTGAGTGATCTTCTCAAGTTCCTGTAGCTTAAATTCCATTTGCTTAACTTTGAAATAATATGTTTCAGACAAAGAAAAAAATACAGTCATTCACCCACTCATCTTTGTAAATCAGAGCATGGAAATCAGCAGCAGTTAAGATGTCTGGGATGGCGTGTGGGAGGAAAGCCGTACAGCTCAAAAGGCTTAGACGACCCAAACAGAAACTCGGGGGTTTGAATCCTGGCTCTGCTGCTTCTCAGGAGTGCAGTATTTAGCAAACTGTTCTACCTTTCTCGGTTTGCTTCTTTTTAAATATGATTAACAAAATCCTAATTAGGGCATGATGCAGTGAGGAGAAAATCAGGGAAAGCATGTGCAGTGCTTGCCTGGCCCAGCTTGCTGGGCTGTGAATAGCAGTTTCCTGCCTCTTTCCTTCACTCACTTTTTATTTTTATTTTTTCCTGGTGGAGAGGACAGCAGAGTGCATCAGAATTGAAGATCTTTAAAAAGGATAAATTTGATTAATGTAGTGTCTTTTTCCACTTGAGAAAATGGATCTCCAGTAAGTTGGCCGTGACTAGTGGGGCGATCCAGTCTTGGCCTTAGGAAGTGCTCAGGAGTCTCTGAGATTGCCAGCAAAAGCCTAGTCTCACCCAACTCGGCAGGGATTATAGAAAACACCATTCTGAGTGGAAACAGATAGTGAGCAGAATTTGCATTTGCCTAACACCAGTTACAAATTACCATCCTCATGTAGGCTAATATTTAATGTTCTAATTGTATATTACCTGTTCTTCTGTTATGTTTATATTATGTGCTTCTTTACAGGTGAGGAAAAGGAGGCACACAGAGATGGAGTTTACAAAGCTATGTTTAAATCGTTTACAAAGTGTTGCATCTAACCAATGTAACAATAATTCCATCCATTCCGAACCTCTGTCTTGTCTTCACACCTCCATCCAGTCACTGCATTGAACTCATCCCTCCCACTCACACAACTTGCCGTGTGTCATACCAGCACTCAGTAGAGTCTGACCATACATTTAGGTCTGCTCCTTTTGAGGGAGAAAAGAAAAACAATGGAGCAGCTGTTTTCATAAGAAACTCACTCACATCGTCCTTAAGCCAGAAGAGCCGTGGAGCTCAGTGATATCAGGGCTCTTCAGCTCCCCATCCACCCTGTTTTGCCTTGTACCCTGATTTTAGAATCAGAATCTTCAAGCAGTTCTCTCTTGTCTTCCCAGTTAGTTGTCAGTCAACTTGATGCAGGTCATATATTTCTGGGAAGAGGAACTGCAATTGAGAAAATTCCTCTCTCAGACTTCTTGTAGGCAAGTCTGTAGGACATTTTTTTGATTAATGATTGATGTGGAAGGGTGAGAGGGTCCAGCCCTCTGGGAAGAGTACCACCCTGGGTAGGTGGTTCTGGGTGGAATAAGAAGGCAGAGTGAGCCAGCCACAGATAATAAGCAGTGATCCTCTGTAGCCTACATTTTGGTTCCTGCCTCCAGGTTCCTGACTTGAGTTCCTGCCCTAACTTTCCTCAAGGGTGGAATATAAGATGAAATTAACTGCGTTCTCCCCAAGTTGCTTTTTGACAGAGTGCTCTATCACACAGTAGAAAGCTAGCTAAGACAGCTATTCACTGACACAGTGCTGGACTTTGTCACTGGAAGTTCTTACAGTGCTTCAGATGCTGTTGAGCTTGCTCTAGGATGTGCTCTGTGGTTGGATTTCTAGCCAGTGGTGTGAAGAATTCAGTAAGCTTTACCAAGTCTCCCTGGCCTTTCAGTGGCCTTTTCGTAAGTTTTTCCTGGAGTGCAACTGGTATGTTCCCACCAACTATGTGACATCTCAACAATTATCTTGACCATTATGTGAGCCATGGCCATATATCACTAATCAGATCTAACTATCTGACTTTATGCCTTGTCAGGGTGAGAAGTCAGTCTAAGTTATTCCCTCCTTGGATTTGAACGCCATCCTATAGCCTTGTAGGTAGTGGCTGCTTCCTATAGTGGTTATTTCTGTGTTCTTTAGAAGTCTCTTTGCTATTTTACCTTCATTTACTACACACACATACACACACACATGCACACACACACAGAATTATATATATGTTGTAATTTCATTGTAGTACTGATATATGTGTCATATATCAGTATATTTACATATATATGTATATGAATGCTGTTTCTAATTTAACACCTGGTACATGCTAAGTAAGTCCTGTACCACCAATCTTTATCCCTAACCCCCTCAATATTTCTTCCCCCATCAAACTGAATGTATTATATTTAAGAATATATTTGTATATTTATATACTTATATGCATGCAATAACAATTAGTGAAAAAAGAAGACATGGATTTGATGGAAAGCATGGGGTATGAGAGAGGGTTTAGAGGGAGAAAAGGAAAGAGAGAAATGTTGTAATCATAATCTCAAACATAACAGCAACAACAAACCCCATTTATACAATATGGAGGCTAAGATAGTTTTCTGAAGCAGTGTTTCATAGACTTCTCATAGCTAGGCTGCTAAATAAGTCGACCTGGTCTGGGTAGGCACATACCCTCTTTTAAGTACTGTGATTTATACAGAAAACTGGCAAAACGATTTTTTTATATTGCATATTTATAAGATGAGAGCATAAGAAAAGCTGTTTGTTAAAATTTGAATAATTATTTTCCCCCTACTTAACCAAGACTTTTGTTAAGAATAAGTTTAAGATTTTATCAAATGCTTTGTATCAAAATAAACATGTCATATTTCTTTGTTTCTGCAACAAATTTTACATCTTTTCAACTTGATTTTAGATGTATAGAACTCTTTAGTTATTTTTTTGTGGGAGCCCACAAAGATTCCAGCTTTGGTTTGACTCAAGGTCAGAGATTCAGAGTTTATGTTGCTCTCCAAGGCTGCATAATAGGATGCAAAGGCCTGGTTACGTAGTGTCTTATACTTCAAGGCCTAATCACATGATGCTTTGCTGTGGGCCGTGTTTACCAGGTGTTTTGAGGGGTCTACACTTGGTTGTACTTTGTGCTTTGATCTTGAAAGGGGGAGGTCTTTTGTCTCTCTTCTTGCTAGTGTATAAAAAGTCCATTAGAAATAAACTTGAAGCTGCTGGATATTGACCCAGAGCTCTCCAGAAGCTATCCTGTGTCTCTATCTTTTTTCTTCATCTACTTCTACATTTTCTATCTAGCATTTCTCAATTCCTTACTACCCCCTTCAAGGGACCCTTAAAGTTCAGGACTGGACTCCAACACTGGGCCCTGACAATTTTTATTAATTTCATTTATTAAATTACAAATTCCATTCATGTGTATAATGCATTCTTATTGCTCTCCTCTCATACCCAGACCTAAAAAGATAAATATGGCATGTATTCACTTACTTGTGGATATTAACCATTAAGTAAATGATAAGCTACAATCTGTAGACCCAGAAAGGTTATGTATAGAGGAAAGGAATAAGGAGGACATATGGATCTCCCTGGGAGGGGAAAATAGAATATAATATAGATTTTATGGATGGACTGTTCGTGGGGGGGTTACTGTGAGTGGGGAAATCAGATGGGGACAGGGACTTGATGGAGGAAATGTGGGAGAGACAGCTAGAACTGAGAGGCATTTGAACGGTGGTATGAAAACCTAGCGCAATGGAAACTTCTTAAAATATATGAAGGTGATCATAATGAAGTTTCCAAATAATGGAGGAGATGAAGTCACAACTAGCCTTCTCTTGTCACCAAACAAAATTTCCAGTACTGGGACTGGGTTACATGCAATTGAGTTGTTGTCCAAAGGAGTCCCATGGAAATATCCAAACAACCCAGG